CTTTGTTGTCTTCTGGTCATATGTTTTGATGTTGTTTGTCACCAAAGAAAGATTCTATGGTCTGACTTTTTTTTTTTACACAGTTTGCTCATGTTTGCAGCCAATTAACTTGAGTTATAAACTCTTTGTTAAGGTGGGGGTCTGCTTCCAGTGTGGAGAATGTACTGTTCTAAGCTTTGGGGGTTTTGTAGAGCCGTTTTCAGGGATACTTCTAGAGACTTGTAAATTTTCTATTCTTCCAAGGTGGTACGATCAAGGGCAAGGTGTTTACTCCTTTCTTGGCCTGTGCTGTGGTCTATGAGTGACCATAAGCACTCTTTTCTGCCTTAGAACTGTGAGGAGGATTTCCTCTCCTCCACTACGACAAGCTCTGCCATGCTAGTGTTTCTTCTTGCCCCAGAACTGCCACTCAGAACTGTGACCCAGATCCAAGCATGGGCAAAGCAAGAGAATCCTGCCTCAGCACCAGCAAAGAGATCCCTGCGATCCCCCTCTGATCAGCCACTCAGCTCCCCCTCTGTCTGTAGGCCAAGAGCTCCGAAAGCAGCCACTGCCCTAGGGCTACACTGAGGCTGGAGCTGGGACCAAGCTTCTCTCTTACTGCAGTCACAGTCCTTTCCTACTGACCTTCTAAATTGTCTTTGGCATTTGTGGGTTGAGAAGTCTGGAAACCACCACAGTTATCTGTGATTCAGCCCCCTGAGGCCTGCTCCAGGTTCACTGAGGCCTGGTCTTTGCCTGCTCACCCATGCTGAACTGTGTTCCTCTCCCAGCCCAGCCCAGATACACCTTTCCAGTCAACCCTTCGGGTTGTCTTGTGCTGGCAATTTGTTTCACTCTGTCTTTTTGTGTGTTGTTCTGCTCTATAATTTGTTTAGAGCCATTTTTTATAGGTATTTGGAGGGCTTTGGGGGAGAGTTCAAGCACGTCGCTGCTTTCACTCCACCATTTTGGCTCTGCCCCCTCAAAATTAAAAAGGTTTTGCACAAACAAAACCAATGCAGCCAAAATTAGAAGGAAAGGAAACTAAACTGGGAGAAAATTTTACAGCAAGTTTCTCTAGTAAAGGCCTAACTTACCAAATATATAGGGAACTGAGCCAAATTTATAATAATAAGAGCCATTCTCCATTTGACAAAGGTCAAAGGATGTGAACAGGTAGTTTAAAAAAAAAAAAAAAACTGTCCATAGTCATATGAAAAAAAATGCTCTAAATCACTAACTATTAGAGAAATTCAAATTAAAAGGACTGTGAAGTACTTCCTTGTATCTGTCAGATTGTATAACATGACAGAAAAGAAAAATGATAAATGCTGGAGAGGATGTGGAAAAATTAGGACATTAATGCCTCCCTTAATCCAGTTTAAAGTGCTGTCTATTAGAAAAAAGGTGGGGGAGGGGGACAGAAGTCTTACTCTAAATATATTTGTTTCCCATTCCATAGTCACCTTCTTTACTTCCTCTATATGTAAGTGGGTTTGGGGGGGCATGGAACATTTATTTAAATCATGGTTCTCTATTATTTACTACATGTGTGATCTTTGGCAAGTCACTTAACTTGTCTGGGCCTCAGTTTTTTTCATCTGTAAAAAGAAAGAACCAACCTTGGTGATCTCTAAGCCTATGTCCATCTCTAAATCCCAGGACCAGATGATCTTTGTACATGTTATCACCTCTCCTTGGAATGCCTTCCTTACTCTTCTCTTCAGGAATCTGTCCTTCCTTTGGTGTGAAATATGAAAGAAATTACACCTTTTGGAGAAATACTGAGTGCTAAGCAATTGGAGGAGACCAGTGTGGTTACACAAGGAACTGATCAACCAATTTAGATTTTTTAAAAGACATGTACAGAAGATGAAAGTCAGGGCAGATAACTAAAGGTAAATACAGTTTAGTGAGTGGCATACTCCTGTGACATGTCAGGAAGGCTAAAAACTCAGGATGAGTTTATAATAAATGCAAAGAACAACAAAAGGAAATTTTTAAAATTTGTTGAGATCAAGAGGACTTCCTAAGAAAGTATTACATGATAATCACAGAAGACAAAAATACTCAACTTTTATTTTCTTCTTGTTTTAATCTGTCAATGAGAATGAACTTTGGACTGAGGATAAAAAATAATTAAAGGGTTGAAACCCCCAAATAAGTGAGGGGATGGTAAGAGAACAAATTAGCTACCCTTCAAAGGGTTCAAGTCACCAGGCTCAAGCAAAATGACATTCCAAGCTACAAAGACAATAGCAATGATTACTGACATTTTATAGATATAAGGTTGCAGAGCATTTTATATACATCTTTATTATTTGATCTTCACAACAGTATTATTAGTTAGATGCTGTAAGTATCATAATCTCCATTTGACAGATAAGAAACGGACATGTAGAGAAATAAAAGCAGCTTTGTTCATGGTCACCAGGTAGTAAGTGTTGGAAGCAGTTTTGAAGTTAGATTTTCCCAACTTAAAATCCAGCATTTTATCCATTATGGCACATCTGGTGAATGTGATTGCTCCTCAGCTTTTCATGGTAGTCTCTGAAAAGGTATCCAGACAGGGAGACATGTCACAGAATTTGAGATGGGCAAATCTGAAATTTGCAAAAAGGGAAAGAACTTAGATTTTCTGAAGTGTAAGCTTATAAGCCTGACCTGTACTCCTCATTAATGAGGGAGAATTTAAGAACAGTTGAGAAGGAAAGCAGTGATCACTATGAGCCAGCATAGGTTAATCATGAACAGGTAATGCTGTTTCTTGTATCCTTTCTTTACATTGTTGCTAAACTAGTAGATTAGGAAGATGCCTTGGATGTAATACATTTGGATTTTAGTAAAACTTTTTATAGCTTTATGATCATCATGAGATAGTTGTGAGCTAAATGATAGTGCAATTAGGGGGATGTCCTCAAAAGTGAACGATTAGAACAACTACATTCTTTGAAGGCAGAGAATGTCTCACTGTTGGATTTTATACCCAGAGTCACAGATTATAACACAAAATGAGAAAATGCTTTCTAACAAAAAGCTGTTCCAAACAAGAATTAGTTATCTTGGGGGATAGTGAGTTCTCCAGCACTGTAAGTGTTCAGAGGATGTCTCAATGACCAGGTGGTGTGGTTGTACCATAGAAATCTGTGCTAAGATACAGGTTGAACTAAATTTCTTCATGTTAATGAGGTAGTATGAGTAGTTGTGTTCCCATTTTAGAGATAAGGAAATTGAAACTAAGAGACCTTCAGTGATTTATCCATGGTCACAGAGCTAGTGGCCATGCCAGGAGTCATAGGACCATAGGATCATAGATTTAGAGCTGGAAGAGAACTCAGAAGCCATCTAGTTTAATTAACCCCTTCATTTTATATATGATAAAACTGATGCCCAGGAAAGTTGAGTTACTTGCTTTACATCTCACACAGGTGATATACATCAAAGGTGGGATTTGAATTCTGATTCTCAAACTCCAGAGATAATGTTCTCTTGCTATGTTACACTGTCATACTCAAAGCCTGGTCTTAGGACTGAGTCAGAAGTCCTGTCCTTTTTCAATTAAACAGTGGAAGTGAGGGCACCATGGTTTTCCTTTGTCACTCTCTTCATCATTAGTCATCAGCAGCCTGGTGTCTTTGGGACACACCATAGTTATTTGCTCTCCTCTGCTGCTTCCTGAGTGCCCAGGAGCCTATGGAATAAAACAGTGGGAGCCTTTTGTAGTTACTCATAAGATTCTCTTTCTTTCTGTATATTTATTACCTGATAAAAGTTACTCTTCTTTCATTGTGGGAAGGCCAAGGTGTCCTATCGCAAAAGTACCCACTGAATCTTTTACAGCTTAAAAAAAAATCCCATCCCATTGCACCTTTCATTTTGATTTCAGTCAGCATTTTCATTGCTATGATAATTTAATTCAGTGGGTAAATGCCACTAAAATAACAATCTGAACACTACCAAAGAAGGGCTAGTGTTCTTCAGATAGATTATATTTAATGACTTACTCTTGATGTAGAACCAGGACTAAACAGTTGGATAACCTGGGAAATCCCAAGAAGGAATTCATCTCTAAAAACTTAAGGCTAATATAGAACACAAAGGGAGATTAGAAAGGAAGAATGAAGACTATTCATAGTGCCTATCACTTGGTGGGCTATCAATAAATATTGATTGATTGATTTTAATGATCAGTCTTGGTCCTGGAGAAGAAAGGATGAAAAACATGTCCCTCTTCTTTATGGAGAGGTGTGGAGGGCAATTAGGTGGTATAGTGGATAGAGTGCTGGGCCTGGAGTCTGGAAGACTTCTCTTCCCGAGTTCAAATCTGGCCTGAGACACTTAGTAGTTGTGTGACCCTGGGCAAGTCACTTAACCTTGTTTGCCTCAGTTTCCTCATCTGTCAAGTGAGCTGGAGAAGGAAATGGCAAAGCACTCCAGTATCTTTGCCAAGAAAACCCTAAATGGGGTCACGAAGAGTCAGATGCGACTGAAAACAACTGAACGACAACAAAGACGATTTTGGATGTGGAATGTGTTAGACTCTATGGCCAGTTATCCTGTCAATTGGTTTGGCTTAGGTTCCAGTGGCAAGCGGGGTTAGGGAAGTAGATGAAGGAGAAATGGTAATTGTGTAAAAGCAAAAGATAAGACGGTGGGGATGGGGGGGTGCTTCAGACTTGTGATTTCATAAGTATAGGGATGTTCTTAGTGAGGAAACTTCTTTACCAATTCAGATTTGCAGCTTTATAGCTCTTGCTTGGGACACTGACTGACTAAGTAACTTTGCTCAGTTTCATGTGACCAGAATGTGTCAGAGGCAAAACTTGAAGCCAGATCTTCCTATCTCTGAGGCTGGCTTTTTCTCCACTGTGCCATAGTGCTGCTCAACAGTACTTAAAAAGGAAAAAGAAGTATGAAGAATGAAAGATCTAAAGAAATTATTTGCCACACTTTTGATACCAAAATTTGGGAGCAGTAGAATTGAGTGTGCTTTAATGTATTCTATGCTTTTTTTGTAGGTCAGGTGGGAAAACACATCCAAGAAATGGAGGAAAAATCAGCACTGATTATCCAGAAACACTGGAGGGGATACAGAGAGAGGAAAGACTTTCATCAACAAAAACAGTCTCTAAAGGAGTATAAAGCAGCAGTTATCCTTCAAAGAGCTGTGAGTTATTAAATTAGGCCTTATGTTTAAATAATTTTCATTTCATGCAGAGATGATTCTAATGGCATAATTTCTACACTAGTGCATTTCTTAAATTAAAATTTTAGTTTTTGTTGTGAATTTAATAAATATGAACATTTCAATATACAAACAGAAAAGAGGATCATATATGAAACTGTGGGCTTCTACAATACACAATAAAGTTAATGCAATAGTAGCAAAACTGCTCTACTTGTCTTCCCATTTCTGAACTTCCTCCTTCTTTACTGTGTATTTTTTTTAAATGTTCTTTTTTTTGGGAGGGGATCACTATCACTGTCTACATGTACAATTCATGTACAACTCCCCCTGACTAAAGCTCTCCCCTAGAACAAATATACACATAGTCAAACAAAAGAAATCTACGTACTGGATATCTCATTCTTTACCCATAGGACATCCCTCTCTGCCAAGAGATGCTAAGCATGTTTCATTATCAGTTTTATGAAGTCATGATAAGGCACTGCTTTATCAGCATTCTTAAGTCATTTAAAGGGATTTTCCTTCACATTATTGTAGTCTGTGTATAAATTGTCCTCTTGGTTCAATTCAGTTCACTCTGTATCAAGCCTTCTTAAATGTCTCTGAATCCATCTCTTTCAACACTTCTTATAGCACAATAATATACTTTGTCTTCCCCCACCGCTTATGTATTCCTCTTCTCCTTTCTTTCTATTCTTTCCTTAAGATTAAGACAGCAGAACAATTCCCAGTTCTTGTCTCATTAGACTTCCTCTGTGACTCCTGTTGATGATACGATTTGGAGGGACATATGTATCATCTCCTCATAGTTGAATGTAAGCAGTTTATCCTTTTTTAGTACCTTTATATTATTTATTTCTGTTTATCTTTTTTTTGTTCCTTATAACTCTGATAAAATTCACAGTTTCTACATAGCTCTGGTCTTTTCATCAATAATACTTGGAAGTCATCTATTTCATTAAAGTTTCATTTTTTCCCCTGTAGCATCATAAGACAGTTCTCTCTTTATGTAAATTTGACTCCCCAGTGGGTGACTCCAGTTCAAGGGTCCTGGAGGGGCCAGGCACTGAAGATGCTCTAGATGTGAGGAGCCCTGCCAGGGGAGAGGGTGGTCTGCAGAACTGTCCACTTGCATTAATCAAGAACTGGCTGTACTCAGTTTTTCTGAGTAAATTATTCCTCAGTGTTATCCTACATTCTTTGCTTTCTGGAGTATTGTATTCTAAGCTCTCCACTACTTTATAGTGTTGACTGCTAAGTCATATATGATCCTTACTGTGGCTGCTCAGTACTTGCATTTCTTCTTTTGGCTGTTCGCAGAATTTTTTGTTAACCTGAAAGCTCTGAATTTTGACTGCATTGTTCCTTGGAGTGCTCATTTTGGGGTTTCATTCATGAGGTGACAAATGGATTATTTCAATTTACACTTTACCCTCTGGATCAAAGAGATCTAGACAGTTTTTTGTTTAAGATTTCTTGAAATACGATACCTAGGCTTGTGTTTTGGTCATGGCATTCAGGTAATCCAGTGATTCTTAAATTTTTTCTCCTTGATCTATTTTCCAGGTCAGTTGTATTTACTATGAGATAAATTGTCTTTTATCTTTTTACTATTTTGATTTTGTTTTAATGTTTTTTGTTGCCTCATAGAGTCATTGTCTTCTGTTTGGTCCATTCTAATTTGCAGGGAGCATGTTGTTTGGGCAAGGTTTTAAACCTCCTAATTCGCCTTCCAATGATGTCATCCATAGGTCTCATTTCTTTTCCTGTTCTTTCCTTCAACTCCATCATTTCATTTATAAAAATATTTTTAACTTTTTTTAAACTTTGTTTACCCTTCCAGGAATTCTAGTTGGATTTGTTTACAAGCTGTGTTTTTCTTTGAGACTTTGCTTTATAAATGTTTTGGAGTCATTGTCATCTTCTGGGTTTGTGTCTTGAACTCCTTATCATCGTAATAGCTTTTTATGATGGGATTCTTTTTTTATTTGCTCATTCTTCCAGCTTATTTTCTGACTTTGGACTTGATATTAGGGTTAGGCTTGGAATACTTGTGTAGGGAAGGTCTGGGCTGATTCTACTGCTGCTTTCCTGGGGTGTTGAGCATTATGTTATTTCAGGATCTCAGGACTAGTTTAGGCTTGGGACCTGTAAGCTTTCAGTGCTTCCATAGTAGTGTGATCCAGAGCAAAGTTTGATCACTGCTTTCTCTGATACAAACTCTGCAATTCCTGACCTGGATTTGAGTCTTGAATAACAGTAGAATGATGCTAGATTCAGTCCCTGTCGTGTACCTGGAAAGTTCTGCTGGTTCAGAGTAATAGACCCGTAGGCTTCACTTGGTCTGGTATACCTGCCTTAGTTATTTTTCTGCAAGCTTTAGATTAGAACGGAAACTAAAACTGAGATCCCTGCCACTGCTGCTAGCTTTTGAACTTGCTTTTTTCTCAGTACACAGTCCAGGGCCTTTCACTGCTTCCTACTACCCCTGGGTACAGCTCCCCTCTCTCCATGTTACCCATTCTCAGGACTGAGTAGTAGTCAATAAAGCCAGTTGGTACCTTTTCCCATCACAGTGCCCTGGTATGGGTCTGGAACCTTCTCTTCCTGGTAAACATTGTGCTGGAGTTCTCTGTACTTGTGCTCCTGGCCAGACCATGTCCCCAGTTTCCATAAACTTCTCAGTCTTCCTATGCTGACCTGAGCTAGGAAAATGACTTACTGTGACTTTTTCTTGGCTTTTCCCATCAGAATTCAATCTGGTGCATTTTCTAAATCTGTTTGGGGCTGTTGTGGAGGGAACTGACTATGCTTCCTGCTACTCTGCCCTCTTGGCTCCATCTGGCTCCCAAATTGATTTCCAGAAAGCTTAGACTAATTTATGTCTCTACCAAAAGTTCATTAGTGTGCCTGTCTTCCCATATCCCCTCTAATAACTACCATTTTCCTTTTTTTCATATTTCACAATCTGATGGATATAAGATAGAACGCAGTTGTTTTCAGTGTTCATTTCTCTAACTAGTGATTTGTAGCCTTTTTAAAAGTATAGTTAATGATAGTTTTCATTTCTTCTTTTGAAAACTGCCTATACATATCCTTTGACTATTTATTTATTAGGGAATGGCTCTTATTCTTATATATTAAACCAATTCCCTATGTATCTTGAATAATAAACCTTTATCAATGAAATTTGTTATGAACATTTTCCCCTAGTTGACTATTTTCCTTGTATTTCTAATTGCATGTTTTTGTTTGTATGAATAAGTTCCCAATGTATACATGACCTAAATACAAAAGAGCATGTGAACAAATTAGAAAAAATAAAGGGTCACCTTTCACCACTATAGATAATGGGACAATTCTTGGCCAAACAAGGAATGGAGTTGACCATGAGATTGGAAAACTTTTGCACAAACAAAATCATACCATGTCTTGAATATTACCTTCAACTCAAGGTACCACATTTTAAGAAGGACATCAGTATATTGTAGTACATCCAGATAAAGGTAACAGCATGATGAAGCACCTTGAGATCATGCCATGTGAGGAAGCATAGGAGTGGTCAGTACATATGTTTTATGGCCCAGAAGTAAAGCTGCCCTGGATGGCACACCACTAAGAATAAAATAAAGAAGGATCTCTGGCAAGTCCTACATCTCCCCCACCTGGGATTTCCTTAGCCCCCAAAAGTAACTTGAATCACTGTTTCCCCTGTTGGGGAAAGAGTGGAAGACTGGAAAGTTGCATATATACTTTCTTCTACCCACTGCTAAGGAGCTAAGTCATAAGGCAGCCAGCTATTACTGTCCTACACTATAATAGAAAAGAAAATGGATTAATTACTCATTACTCATTAATTACTCACAATTGGAATGGACACCAGAGGGCATCTATGTGCCTTCTACATCATCCCCTACAAATTACCATAAGCCTCTGAAGGCTTGCTAAGATAGGCAAATCATACCCCTCTTGGCCACAACCACAGAGGCAGAAGGAAGAGGAAAGAAAAAAAGAAGATACTGGGAGGAAATGGCAAAAGAACAAAAGTACAAGTTTACAATAAAAGGACGGGAAGAGGAAGAAGGCAGGACAGCATGGAGCAGTATATAGAGTACTCGACTTGGAGTTGGGAAGACCTGACTTCAAATTCCTTGGGCATATCACATAACTTCTCTGTTCCTCAGTTTCCATAGAATAAGCGGATAAGACTCAATGGCCTAAGATCCTTTCTAGCTCTAAATCTGTGATCCTGTTATGATGGTAGCCAATGGCCACTAAGGGATATTTTGCCACCATTTTGAAATACCCTATCTTCATGAACACAAGTTGTTTCATTGATAGGCACAGCTGTCTCCTTGAAACTGACCATCCAATTAATACTCATAAGCAATCTAATTCATATTTTAATTTAGTATTTATTGAGCACCTATTATGTTCAAGGCAGAGCTTGTCAAGAGTTGAATGGACACTAAGAACTGGATTAGTGAGGCAGCTAGGTGGCACAGTGAATAGAGCACCAGCCCTGAAGTCAGGAGGACCTGAGTTCAACTCCGGCCTCAGACCAAACACTTGATACTAGCTGCGTGACCCTGGGCAAGTCACTTAACCCCAATTGCCTCAAAGAAAAAAAAAAAGAACTGGACTAGTAACTTCCTGAGTTCTAGTTTTGGCTTTTAATTTTCTAGGTATGTTACTTTAAGGTATTTTGTTTGTTTTTTCCAACTTTGTTGTTTCTCAAGAAGGTGAGTGTTGATTCCCCCCTCCACTATTAAAGAATTAGATATTCCTCTTGGCCTAGCTTAAAGTTAATAAATTTCACCCAATCTAAGCTCATCAGTTTGAAGCCACATATTCTTGAAGATAAGCAAAAACTGTGCTTCTGTGAAGTGGAGAAGTTTTGAAATGATTGACTTTCCAATTGACTTTCTTTTTTTTTTTTTAATGTTTTAATAGTATTTTTTTCCCAGTTACATGTCAAGAAAATTGTTAGCATTCATTTTTACAAGATTTTAGGTTCCAAATTTTTCTCCCTCCCTCCACTCCCCTCTTCTGAAAATGGTAGGCAGTTTGATATAGTTTATATATGTGCTATCATGTAAGAAATATTTCCATATTAGTCACAGTTGTGAAAGAAGAAACAGATTTTTAAAAAACATGAGAAAGAGAGTAAAGTAAGTGAAAAAATATGCTTCGATCTGCATTCAGAGTCCATCAATTCTTTATCTGGATATGGATAGCATTTTCGTGACTTTCCTTTTTTTAATTCCCTCTTTCTCCCTGTTGTTTTTGCTCATATTTAAGAAGAGAAATACAGAGGGGAGGTTGTGTGTGGTTGTCACTGTCATGACGATGAGCAATAATGCTCAGCACTGTTTGTGGAAAACTAGTGCCACCAACGTGGCCTATAGCTTGCCAAAAACAAGTAACATGAAAGAAAACTAAAGAAAAATTAGATGGAAAGGAGAAAAAGGAAAAAAGAGAGAAATGTTCATTTTTGTTCTCCAGTTCCACCTAGGCACAGATTTAATGTCTTCTCTATCCTGTTCCTCTTCCCCCACCAACAATCACAGTAAGTCCCAGACCACACAACCCAAGGCAGTCCTTTGAGTGTTACTTAAACTAAACTAAAAAGGATATGAAGAACAAAAATAGGAGGAAGAAGTGAAAAAGATAGGAGAAACAAAAAAAAAGTTAAAGGAGAGAACAGAAAAGAAATGTCAAGTTGAAGGAGAGAGGGGAGATCAAAGGGATGCCAAACAAGGCAAAAATAGCAGGATCTGTTTTACCTTCATTATTAATTGCTAATAATGGGATGCTTGGCCTTGTGAAGCAGGGCAAATTCTTTAACTTCTCAGAATCCTGGGCAGCATTCTAAAATAAACTTTCTAAGAAAACACTATAATCTGCTTTGATAGAGGGAGTTTATTACCAGGAGTTTGCTGCACCAATGAAAGCACAGGTCTGATAAAAGAAAAATGATGTGCTATGTTTCTGTTTATAGCACATCATGGTCAGGTGTGCCCCCTTAAAGAAAATGGGACAGAACATTCAGAAAATAGTGTTTTGCCTTAGTTGTCATCATCATCATCATCATTATATTCTATTTATATAGTGCTTTTCAGTTTACAGAATGCTTTTACAAACATTATCTTATTTGATTAATATTTGCAAACTTTTAAATTTTATATAAATGTTATCTGCTATTAACAATGTTGTATAGTAGGCAGGGCAGTTAGTATTTCCTTATTACAAATGAGGAAACAGAGAGATTCCCAAGATTACCTAGCTAATAATGGTGGAGCCAAGACTAGAACTTAGTACTTTTAATTTCCTAGTCCAATGTTTTTTCTAACTATCCTTTATTGTCTCGCCTGTAAGAAAAAAATACAGAACTTTTGTGGATCAACAAAGATAATTCATTGTGATATATCAACCTTGTTGAAAGCCTCACAAGGAAAGGAGAACACTACAGACTTTCCTTTTGTTCACCTTTAGGCTCTTAAATTTTTAAGAAAATGTCAAAAGAAAAAGAAAATGTCTTATTCTTGGCAAGGACTCCCAGAACTTACTGATGCACGTAGAATGGAACTGAAGCAACATGTGGACAATTACATTGAACGGCACTCAGTAAGTAGATTCCTGTCATAGGAAGTCTTATTTATATTATTACTTTATGTTGTAGGTAGCAACAATGAAAAGATCATACATACCATGTCTCACGGATATAAGAATAGAAATTAGGCACATACATGGCATAATTAAAAAGTGTGTTTATGTGTTTCTTGTGAATGTGGATTACGTTTTGTTACTTGATGATCATCTTCTGTATGGATGTATAGTCTCCTCTTAATATTTTTCACCAGTGGAGGGAAGCATTAATTCCAATAATGTAAAACCATAATTAATGATCATCTCATCTATTTCAACATGTTCCCATTCCTTGTGACATGAAAAATTGCTAAATAAAGCAGGAGTGTGGTTGCAAACCAAATAGAGGGTGCAGCAGCTGGGTAAAAAGATTCTACTGCAGAAAGTATCCTGGCTTCACTCACCAAAGAGCCTTTCCTGTGGATGACTGTCCCCAGGCAAAGTCACTAGTCCTGTTATTGGTTCAGCTTCTTTGGGAGAATTTGACCAGAAAGTGTGTCTGATCTCCCTTCCAGCTAGGTTCCAGCAGTCAAGGAACACAAACAGGTAAGTTGTGAGTTGGGTGTGTATAGAAAGTCAACCAATGTAAAAATTGTATGTATATGTTAATGGACCATATGTAGAACTGTCTGTTTGAGGACAGGCATACCTATCAGCCTCCACTTCTCAGTTTATTAAATTCAGTATCCTCTGTATAAGAAGGCAATTGAATATATAGTATGTTTTAGAAACATTTTCATTTGAAAATCCAGATAAAATAAAAAAAGGTCTGACCTTTTAAGGATTACCCCCCAGATAACAGGAAACCAAGCTATCTAAAATAATTTACTGGCTAAGGATTCTAAATAGCCGTGAGTTTTACTGTACTGTTGCAAACAATCAATCCCCAAATCGTGCTGATAATTACATGGGAAATAACTACTAAAATATTGTTTTTCTGAAAGGCACATACAAATGTTACAGTAAAAGCTGTGTTGTCTAGCACTTTATCAATGGTAATAGGCATTGACTCTTGTTATTAATCTAAATTTTTTATGATTTTTGCTCTCCTTCAACTTCATCTCCTTCCTGCTATGCTACCTGTAAACTCCCCCTACTTTAGTCCAAATTTTCATCCTGTTTAAGATTTTAGGAGACTGTGTGTAAGCCTCTTAGAAAAGCAAAATGGAAATAGAATTAGGACATTGAATTTGCAGATATTATAGGAAAACAAGTGTGGCCTTTGTAGTTAGATGAGAGAGAAATTAATACATATACCCTCATGATAGCATTTTTTATTTTTCTCCAGGGCTCTGAAATGTCAGATGTGGCTAGCAGGGAACTTCATACCCAGGCTCAAGAGCGGCTGGGGCGCTACTTCTTAGGAAGGGCTCTAGAAGAGCGAGCCCAGCAGCGAAGGGAGGCTTTGCAAGCTCAGATCAGCACCAACATTGAGCAGCTGATGAGTAAGTGCTGAATTCTATGTCTGCTTTCTATAGTGAACAAATTCTATAGGACATATCAGATCAAAAATCATAGAGAAAGACCATTTACCAATTACCTATCTAGTCCAGCCACCTATGTCCAAGAATGATTTTACTTAGAACATTACCTTCAGGAAGGAAGATGCCACACTCTTAATCCCTCTCAATTCCCTGTCACTTGTCATTTAAACATATCACAGTTCTTTCTGCCTTAGAGATACTGATGCCTATAGACTTCCTAAGGCTTTTTCTCTTTATATATAGCCTTTCTGTTATTTCCAAGTAGTGAATAATGTTAATAATAACCTCATCTTAAATTTATTAGCACTTTATGGCTTTCAAGCCATATTTACATGCATCTTCTCAATTGATCATCATGGCAACCCTGTTGGAGTCGACAGCACAAATGAGCTATGTGGAGAGTGATCCAATTCATGAACTACAATGTTTCAGCCCGACGCTAGGGACCTTGCTTTTAGTATGTGTGGTGGAAAGGTCCATTGTCTACTGCTTAATGTCTCTTGCTTATTGTTGTGATATATTGGGATTGAGGTTTTCATGGATCTTTTCCCAACAAGATAGATTGTGTTTTCCTTTTTAGTAGTTTCTATAATCAAAACAAATAAGCTTTTTAAAAAATTTACACAATTCTATAATCCTTTTTAGTAGGGCCTAGGACTCAGGGGTGGGGAACCTACGGCCCCAAGGCCACATGTGGCTGCCTAGGTACTTGGGTGCAGCCTTTTGACTGAGTCCAAGTTTTACAGAACAAATCCTTTTATTAAGGGGATTTGTTCTGTGAAGTTTGATTTCAGTCAAAGGGCCATACTTGAGTTCCTAGAAGGCTACATGTGGCCTCGAGGCTGCAGGTTCCCACCCCTGGCCTAGGTCATTCAAGTAGACAATTCTTTTCAAAATGACAGCATGAAACCGTAATATATATCTCTTCCAAACAAGCAGATATCACCCATAGGTGAGAGTGGTGGTCACTTGGTACATTGTTGTAGCCTGCGTAGAATTCAACCATTGTTCTCCCAAGTTCTTAGTTGATGGGAACAGGATTCTTGGAGTCTTATAGATTTGGAGCAGAAAGGGATGTTAGAATCCATATAGTCCATCTATCCCTTACTCCCAACCCCTCATTTTGAAGATAAGGAAATTGAGATTTGGGAAGTGGGATAAGTGACTTGCCCCCAGGGTCAAACACACAGAAAGAGTCTAAGGTAGGATTTGAACCTGGGTCCTCTTGATTTCAATTTCATTATACCTCTCTTCTTTTATTACAGGTGCACCACATCTGAGGGAGATTACAGGACAGGAGCCTGAACTCTTCATAAGCAGGTCTCGGCCTGTGGCCACCAGAGCCAAGCAAGCCCACCTTGCTACACTAATAGAGGGACAAGCACCTTGGTGGAAGAAACTTGGGAATGAGGTTGCGGATGAAGAAGTTACCCCAAAAGAAGCTCTAAATATAGATTTGGGAACCTTATTTATTGGTGGAAGCAAATCTCCTTAGGAACTGAGCCTGGGCACCAGTCTTAGAGGTGTCACATTATAAGGATAGTATTCTACCTAGAGCTATCTATCAGTCTTTACTATTGGATATGCCAAGAGATTTGGGTAATCCATGGGTTTACTGTCTCAGTGATCTTGCTTCCCTGCTCCCCCTCAAATAAGGCTCGGTCTGTATTTTAGGAGACAGTTAATTTCTACCTCAAGACTCCTTTCTCTTCTCCCTTTTCATTTCATTTCTCCATCATGAATACCAAGATGACTTGGAACTTTTGCTGTGGAATTAAACACAGATTGATGCTATATGTGCAGGGCAGGGCAATGGTTTTTTTTTTTTTTAAGATTTTACTTTTTTAGTAAATGTTCTGAAAGATTTGACAGATCAGTCATTTTTCAGTTCTTTTATTTGGAATTCCTAGTTTTTCATTAAAGATAGACATTTAGGAAACAAAATAGTTTTGTACATTTTTGTAGAATAGCCACACATTTTTACATGTTTCATTTTCTTCAAATGATGGCTTTTTTATACTTAACAGAGTTCAGGACACATAGTAGATTCTCATACTAGGCTTTTGATTGATGATATAGCTAGTACAATAGGCAATTATTTTCTCAACCACACCCACAGTCTATATATGTATTTGAAAACCTGCACAGGGAGACAGTTTGCACTTCTCTCAGTCTATAAAAGGACTTGAGTTCTTCTTGGCTTTCAGAGATGTCTATGCATGTGCTTGTGCGTGTGTTGAAACCACTTTAAACACTTTTTTAAAAATCCTTTTAAGTTTTGGTGACATCATTTATTAGATATATGAGCAAAACACCTTTTTTTTTTTTAAAACCTGTGAGTTTTAGAACTCATGTTCTATGGGGCAGCTAGGTGGCGCAATGGATAGAGTATGGGCCTGAAGTCAGGAGAACCTGAGTTCAAATCCAGCCTCAGACCATCACTTGACACTTAATAGCTGTGTGACCCTGGGCAAGTCACTTAACCCCAGTTGCCTAAAAACTTAAAAAAAAAAGAAATCATGTTCCTACAGTTTAAACATGTTTACTACTAGGTATTGCATTTTTTTGGAAACTAGAATTTATTCTAATAGAGTGAATTGAGAATGAGATAAATTATTTTTTCAAAGAAAATAAACTTTTAAAGATATGTAAATTACATAATTACTTCCTAAGTGATACCACAATAGAAATATCATTTAGAGCAGTGGTGTCAAACTCAAATAGAAACATATCCTTGCAAGTCACACATTGACTTTAAAATTGAGTAAACATTATGTTGCACTAAATTTTTATTTATTTATTTTGTTAAACACTTTCCAATTATATTTTAATCTGATTCAGGCTAGACTTGGGAGTTTTACATGCAAAGCAGCCTGCTGGCCATGAGTTTGATATCTCTGATATAGAGTAGTTATTCATTTAAATATCTACTCTCTGCTAAAAGGTCTGAGATACAAAGATAAATAAGACATGATTCCTGCCCTCAAAAAACTTAAAACCAAATAAAATATTTCAAACAAATGTCAGGTCTGTACTCTAATTGGGAGCGTTTAGTTTTTCTAACTATTTTACCTAAAATTCAAACTGCTTCCCTTCATCAAAAGTCTTTTAAGGGGAGTAGCTAGGTGGTGCAGTGAATAGAGTGCTGGCCTTGGAGTGAGAAAGACCTGAGTTCAAATGCAGCCTCAGACACTTAACACTTTGTGACCCTGGGCAAATCAGTTAACCCCAATTGCTTCACCAAAAAAAGCACCAAAAAAGTCTTTTAAGAACATGTATTTTGTCAGGAAGGACTGGCCTTTCTGTGCCTCATATCATCACAGGTTATGTTAGAACTAAGTAAAGAATGAGTTTTTACTAAGAATGGTTAAGTACACTTGTAGCTGTGATAGAAAGAAGCCTTGGAATCCAGGTAAAGCATCCTATAGACTTTTAATGCCAGCTTATCTAAAAGTCTTGGAGAGTAGTTTTAGGATTCTGACTCCCAAAATTGAGGGTGAGTTAAAAGGTGTTTGATTATTGAAAGAAGGTTAAATTAATCATACATAACAGATAAGGATCAATAAGAAAGATTCTGAATTGTATCCTGGAATTTGTTTTCTTAAGGATTTTTTCACCCTTTAATGTTTGTGTTCAGCTATTTTAATAAAGAATTTTATTTTTTATAATAAAAACATAATTGGGTGACCATTCCAAACTAATAGGAAGCTTGACTGTCTTGACCATCATGCCATAACCAAGACACCACTCCTCACCTTGAGACAGAGAATTTTAGTCAAAATAACTAAAAGGAAATAATTATCTCTTGGTGCTGAGCTTCTAAATGTAAATATTAACATGACAATAATCTAATAGTTTATGTTCCTCTTACCTGAAAAGTTCACATTCAGGTGTAACTAGAAACTTTGTATACATCAAACCTGGCCATGTCCTTCACAGAATTTGCCAGACTGAAATAGGGTTATCACAAAACTGAGATTAAGTGTCCCCAAAGATGAGAGATGGCAGAAAGCAAGATGTATAAGAAAGAGCAAGTACTCATGAGGAGGTGGTAGAAGCATCAGACAGAATTATACTGTAGTGCTTATTGCATACAGCTGCATATTTCTTTACATTCCCTCATTCCCATAGCCACATTTTTTGTTACAGTAACTTTTCTCAGGTAGAGACAAATAGCCAAATCAGATAATTAGAATGAAAGGAATCTCAGATATATTTCATGTGCTAACATTAATTGTTGTTGAGAACATTCCTTGTACTTCCAAGGATATTAATTCTGTATGTTTTTGCTCAGTCTCTCTTTATGAAACCTAATTCCTTGCTCCTTGTGATTGTGCTGTCCATTGGTTTTACTGAACTGCTTTTGTGGTTTTTGTTGTTGTTATAACTGGATACAGGGTACAGGTATAATAATAACGTGAAGGACTGTCTGGAAGAAGGGAAGCAAAAGATAATCATGTTAAAAGAACACAATCTCTAAACATTAAATCTTGAGGACAATGCTTGGAGACAACTTAAAGATCCTAGATCTTCCAGAACACAAGTCAAAAAATTGGAGCTCCACAATGCAAGAAATAATACAAAAAAATTGCCCAGAAGTTCTGAATAAGTACCTACCAAAGGAGTCCATAGATCACCTCCTGAAGGGGGGGGGGAACCCATAGTGCAAACTCCCAACACGCATAGTAATTAGATTTAACAATTCCAATGACAACAAAATTTTCAAGTGACTGGAGACATTCAAATATAAAGGAAAAAAAATTTGTATAACACAAGACTATTATGCACCCACCAGATACCACAGAAGAGGAATGGAATAATATATTCCAAAAAGCAAAAGAACTCAAGATGCAACCCAAAGGGACGTACTTTGCAAAGCTGAACCTAATCAATGAAAAATGATTGAGTTCGATGAATGAGAGGCATTTGTAATATATCTACAAAAAATGAGATATTCTATTTTCAAACACCCCAGACAACAGAAACACAAGAAAATAAACACAGCTACTAAGGAAAGCATAAGTAAAAACAAAATATGCCATCTTTAGAGACTATTAAAAAATGAGAGAGATATATATGGGGTTAAAAAACAAAGTAGGCAGGGAGGGTGGGTGAGGGGGGAAGGGAGGCTGCTTTCCACCTGCCAGAGACACTGCAAGTACTGGGAGTGGTGATGGCAACCTTCACAAAAGACCTAGGCTTGCCTCTGGGGGGGCAGAGTAGGGACAGGAGAGCAACCTGTACCCAGATCTTGCACCAGAACCCAAAGCCATGTACTTAAAATCCCACCTGAAGGAAAGAGCCAGCTGTGTGAGGATCCTCTTGGAAGGCTGCCCAGGAAATCATGGTGACAGGGAGCTGGCCTAGACTTAGAATGCCAAAGGCAGGGCACACCCAGTCTTCCTCATTGTGCCACTGGGAAACCTCTGCTTCGGCCTAGGCCATCCCCACCCCCTCCTCAAAGGTCCTACTTGGGACCCATCCCCCTGCACATGGAAACCTACATCCTGTTCTTCTGGGACCTACCCAGGCCTGGGGAAGTCTCCTGACTTAGAGAAGTGGCAGAGCCTGGCAAAGAGCTGAACAAGGGTACCCAGGACCTGGCTCCTAGCCCAGTCAGGCAGCCCAATTCCAAAGGGGCCCAAGTCCAAGGCAATGCCCTCTTAAGTCCTTGCCCACAAGGGCTTACACAGTCAAGGACTCCCCGAAAACATTCTGTTTCTGCATATGTTGGGCAAGAGGGTTCAAGTTGGGGGGTGTGACAATTCAGTTCAATTCAACATACATTTATTGAGTGCCTCCTGTATGTGTGACCCTGGTCTTGGCACTAAGGAGACAAATATAAAAAAGGAAACCCTCAAGGAGCTTACAACCTAAAAAGCAAGCACAGTACCTGTTAAACATTTTTAAAATAAATTTTATAGTTAAAAAAACAAAAGTAATAACTGAAGGGTGATTGAAATATTTCTAAAAATACAAAGTCATATAAAGATAACAGTAAAACTTAAATAGAAGTTATGGTAGAAAAATTTAAAACACTGTGGACTTAATCTCCCTCCCCCACCTCACCCCTCTCACCTCTCAAGTGAATAAATGTGTTTTGATTTCTGGTTTTGCGTGGGCGTTGGGCGGGTACTAAACTGCAAGAATGGGAGGGTTAATAAAAGAGGGGAGGAGAGTTAGAAGATAGAGACGAATGAGTGACTTACTCCTAACCAAGTAAACAAAAAGGGGAAAATAAGGGTTACAAGAAAATGGGTGAAGTGACAAAGGGAAGGATTGAAATGAGGAAGGAAAGAGGAAATCTTGATTCAACGGTGAGAGCTGTCTTTCTGAAGGAAGACATATTCTGTATTAGGACAAGGGAACTTTACAATGGGACTAATCTGTAGGAATTTGGTGCTCAAAGAAATCACTGAACTATTTCTGGAAAAGCATTGTACCTTCCATGGGCAGCATCCTATCTATCTCACGTTAAAGGAACCAGCATCCAGAAAGGTGAGGGTGTGTACCCAGAAAAGAAATTTCATGGCAAATGGGGAACTAGAGAAGGATGGTGTCCTTTACTAATAAGAAAGTTGGGAATTGGTTTGGAAATCAATACCTAAACTTATTAGCTGTGTGAGCTTCGGCAAGTCACTTAACCCTTGTTGGCCTCAGTTACTTCATCTGTAAGATGTGGATAATAGCATCCACTTCCCAGGGTTGTGAGGATCAAATAAGGTAATAATTTTTAAATGCTTAGCATAGTACCTGGTACAAAGCAGGTGCTATGTAAGTGTTGGCTATTATTA